ACCAATCTTTGCGGTCTAGGTTTACCGTTTTCTCTAAAATTTTCTTGATCTCCAATTGTACTTGGTCACTTGTCTATGGATGGTAGGGAGCTACAACCTTATGATTAATTAAATATTTTCTCATCAAATTTCAAAATATTGGTTGCAAAAGTTAGCTCCACCATCATTAATAATGGCTCGAGGGATTCCAAACCACGATAAAATAGATTACTTTAAAAACTTTACCATAATTTTGATGATCATTATTGGGGCATGGAATGGCCTCGACCCACTTAGAGACATAATCCACATCAACTAAGATATATGGATACCCAAACAACGGGGAAAAAGGTTCCATAAAGTTGATGCCCCAATTGTCACAAATTTCTATTACAAGAATTGCGTTTAAGGGCATCATATTTCTTTATGAAATGCCCCCTAACCGCTGTTGCCTATCACATAATAAGAAAAAATCATGGGTGTTGGAAAAGGGCAGACCAATAAAATTCACATTGCAAAATCTTTGCAACAGTTTTCTTAGAAAAAAAAAATGGCCTCTACAGGCTTTATTGTGACAAAAGGTAACTACACTAAGCATCTCATGATTCGAAACATACCTCCAAATGCTCTAGTCCTTAGAGTATTTAAACATGTAGGTATCATCCCAAAATAAGCTACGAACCTCACTCAAACATTTTGTTCCATCCAAAGAACTAAAGTGAGAAGGAAGTGTACCAGTGGTCAAGTAATTAGTAATATGTTTAGTCATTGTGTGTCAGGGATCGTTTTTATAAGTCTCAAACTTAAGGATAAGTGCCGTCAGACTAGTAGTCGAAGTACACCATAGGCAAATTTCTGCTGGTCCCACATCTCTTTGGTAGTGGGTACATCTCAAACTCCCTCAGAAGATCGTCGTGTATACTAATAAGCATGGTAGAGCGCGCACTACAATTTTTCTTATCCCAAGCCTAGTAGGCGCCAAGATCTCAACAGCGTTCGGTCGTGGACCCATCCTCAAGTTGGGTCATTGAACTAGTCAAGTGTTTCAGGAGCTCTTGCTCATTCAATAGGTATTGTATTTTCAGTGCCATATGGCATAGTCTATCTCATCCAATTTGTCACTCCTAGTAAGGTCATCAACTACATTCTTGGTGGCCATTTGATCACTACATGGATATGTGCAAGTTTGATATTAGTTACACACCTTTTTAATTTATTCCAAAAATTCACCCAAAAAATATTATCCTTTCTCACATAATGAAATCAAAAATGTGTCGAAAAGTCCACAATCATCTCTCAGACATGTGAGTTAAGAATATATTTTTCAATTGTTTATTGAACAAATTTATTTTGGAAGGATCTAACCTTGAGCCATACAACAAAATGCGCATGGGCTCCACTATGTTCAATTAGCATTATTAAGCTTATACTAAGAAAAATTATTAATGTATAATGTGCGACACGAAACACATTCCCTTACAAGGTCTCAATATAATAATACAATCCTGTGATTACATTTTCAACCAAAGACGGCTACAATCTAATCAAAATAATATTAGAGATGTCTCATTTTACATTATACGTAGGAGAATAATTCTCGTTCCATACATCACCCAAACATAAGCTTATAAATAAATAATGTCAATTATTAATCAACCATCCATTTATCTTAAAACTAGCACGCTAGTACATAAGAAGCAATACACATAGGTCTTTCAAATGGATTGGTTGTGCCACACTCACCCTGGTAGGGAGTGGGATTCATAGTCTCGTAGGGAATGACCATTACTTTCATTTTTATTGGCATTGAATTACACTCAATTAGTCAAAAATGACACATAATTCATTCATTACCAAGAATAGTCATTCCACAATGCAAAAACTTATTTTCTATGATCCTTAATCCACTTAAAAAATATTAAAAGGTCACAAACGGCATAAAGTCATATACGCATTTTTAATTATTTTTGGGCCCAAAAATGCCAGATAACGGAAGAAAATTCCATATCAAACAAAAATAGTAGTTATGGACCACGTATGACCTCTTGATGACAAAAAATATTCCTTTGGAATTTTTATTTAAATTTTAATGGTATTTGTATTCTAAGAATAAATAATAAAAAAAACTATTTCAAGACCACATTAATCATTTTAAAAAAGAAAAATTTTAGCCACACCCCTCCTAGGTTACTATATCTTCAAAGACAACCCATCTATTATTAAAAACATTACTAACACCCCCTTCTAATTTATATTTGCCATTAAACCACCATTTTTAACCAAAAAAAAATTATCTAAAATATCATTAATGCCCTTACGTAATCCCCAAACAATATTTCGACATAAAATTCGAAATCGAATCAATTAAAATTTATTTTTTTACATATTAAAATTCAAGTCGATTAAAATTTATTTTTTTACATATTAAAATTTGAGCCGATTAAAATTCAATTCGAACTGATTAAATTTTAATTTTTTTATGTATTAAAACTCTAGCTGATTTGAGCTCTACCTAAGCTATTAGCGCCAATTAAAATTTATATTTTTTACTTATTAAAATTTGTGTTAATTACAATTCGATTCAAGTTGATTAAAATTTATTTTTTACGTATTAAAATTTGAGTCAATTAAAATTTATATTTTTATTTATCAAAATTCGAGTCTATTAAAATTCAATACGAGTTGATTTGAGCTGATTTTTAATCGGCTCAAATTTCAATACACAAAAAAATATAATTTTTAATCAACTCGAATTTTAATACGTAAAAAATAAATTTTAATTAACTCAAATCAAATTTTAATCGGTCCAAATTTAATACAAAAAAAATTATAAAACAGAGAAGGTCTCATTGAAGTTATATCTATCTAGAGAAGGTGTGAATGGAGTTTTTTCTCAAATATGTCATGGACAATTTAGTAAAATTATATTCTAATTAACACCTTTAATCTGACAATAGATTCAGTGAAGATTCAAAAAAAAAGAGAGGATATCTTTGAAGATATAATAAACTAGAAGAGAGGTGACTGACATTATCCCTTTTAAAAAAATATATTAAAGAAATCAAAAATTAAATTAAAAGTATACACGTGCCAAGCATGTCAAAATTCAAAGTCTAGGTTTCATGCACCACCTCTGCGTGTGGGGGATACACCAAAAGCTCCTCCCGCTATTAAAAAATTTCTCATTATTTTGGTATCAAAAATACCTTTCATTTTGGTATCAAAAATACCCTTCAAATGTGCATGTGCGCAAAAACAGACCAAACAGGTCCATGCTTGACCATTGTAGTTTAAGTTTTCATTTACTTGCCTCGAGTCTTGGGATTTGTGCTAAAATTGAAGGCTCAACTTTAGAATTTTTCATCTTCAAAGTCTACCCTTTTCCAGTCTCTAGAAGCATTAAGAATGAGAGACCGTCAAAACTCTCTACTCCTTTGCAGCACTGCTCTCTATATCCCAGATGTAATAGGGCAATCAAAAAACAAATGCTTGTAACTTTATTCCTCACTTCTACAGAACAAGCAAATACACTCCACATGTTGCATATAAACTTTCACACGATTCTTAGTATTTAATCTTTCAAGAATAGCTAATCACATGATAAAGCATATCTTGGGGATAGTTTGTCCATACCAGACAAATCTATACCAGTATACCTTGGGGAATTGAGACACAATCAAAATCCAAGTTGATTGAGTTGTGTGAATTCCATTATCAATAGAAAGCCATTTGACTTGATCAGAATGAAGGACATTTGGGGTATAATTAGGCATTGTGCTACATATTTCATGCATATCAGATGATTTATGGTCAGGCCAATTCCAATTGTCGCTATCAATGATGCTCTTAACTATAGCAGTAGCTGGTAATAAAGACTCTTCAATAATTCATCAAGGGTGGTCCTTCAGGGTGCCAATTATCATGCCACAACTTAGTTGATCTCTCGTCCCCAATAATGTGCTTGATTAAAGGACTAACAAGAGGTCTTAACTTCCAAATCTTTTTCCAACTCCAAGAGAAACCTTGAGAGGTTTTAAGCTCCCAGAAGGTTCTTCCTCTTACATAAACAGATTTTACCCATTCAACCCAGAGGTTGTCTCCATCTTTGAACATATACGATATATGGCCATCATACCAGAAAGTGAGAAAGATCCAAGAACCTCTCCATGTTCAAATAGTAGTTTCAATGATACGATATACTTTGCATTGAAGAAAATAAACTCTCTTCTGTATGTTGATTTCCTTCATGACCCATAGTTTGTTTCATTTAAAACTTTTTCAATTTCCTTCGTGATCCATAGTTTGTTACATTTAAAACTTTTTCATTTGTTACGTGTAAAACTTTTTCACTTGGGAATAAATAATGAGAGTGTTATACTAGATATTAATAACACTAATGCTATTGGGACATAATTTAGAGACTTAATGCATTATAACCATTATATTGATAGTGTTAGAACCCAGTGATAAATGAATGTTAAAACTCACTGACAATCTAATGGTCACAATCATTAAGTCTTCAAATTATGTTTTTAAATTATGTCACAATAGCATTGTTCAATTAATAATGGAGTGAACTACGGTGCTCTTCAAATAACCACATTTGTTAACAGAAATAACCAAGAGGGAGAGGGAGAGAGTTGGGATTCGGCAGACAGATTTTTAACGCTTTAATCCATGCAATACTTGGGTGAACCGATTGACTATTATTAAAGGAAAGAAAGGGACCGTCTAGGATCTAGTGATTTGACAAAGAGTCATTAGTTCCTTTGGTAAACTTTCACATTAAATGACTAATAGACACATACAATCTTAGAGGGAAAGTCTCCCAAAAGTGCTTCGTGTACCAGAACAAATTAAAATGAAGGTAAACTTAAATTAAAAAATAACCAATTAAAAGCAACAAAAACAAGTCTCTCGCAAAAACCACTACCCAAATCTCGCCAAAAATACATCACCACAATAGCCCTCATAATTCTCCTAAACAAATTGTAAACGCTCAACAGAGCTAGTTTTACAAATCAAAGTATCACTAATTCAATTCCTACTGTTACTCTACCTTTCAACTGCCGCTTGGCACGAACTCGTGCGGCCTTTTCTTTCTCGATTTGACCAATTTTCTTTGGGCGGTCTGGTAAAAAGGGATTATGGGGATCAATAATAATTTTCTTGAGGGCAACCGCATTCTCCAGTAAGTATATGACAAGTTCCAGTTCACTTTTGCGGCCATAATACCCAAACACCTCCACCTCTTCAAGATTTTGATGGGAACATCTCGCGACCTTCCTCACTTTCCTTTTGTCAATTGAGGGTTTAAACCAGTCTACCTGAGTGAAAATTGGATATCTGCCCGTCAGTCCATGCTTCCACAAGAAACATAATAGCAACAAGCTACAGATACAACAAACACTATATATTTCTACAGTCCATTCTTTCCACAAGAAAGGAATCAAGTTAATTAAGCCATATGTCAACCAGGTACAGACAATATGAAACCCTCCTTGCCCCTTGCCCCCTGCCCCCTGCCCCTATTCTTCAATCGTATCAATAAACTCAGGAGGTCAACAGAACATCAAAAACAGACCTTTCATTTTCTACCAAAGTACAAAGTGAAAAAATAGCAGAAACTATAAAAGACAAACTAAAACAACTTTATAATTGTTTATTCCTCACTAATCATGAAATTATTTCCTTAACATTTAACAGCATACCACCCTATGATTGCAACCTGCAAGTGTTCTTCAGTAGATTAGTTTGATGTTTGAAGGCAGAAAGGGCAACCCATTAAGCCTACAAGGCTAGCAGTAAGGCGGTTAATTTTAATGTTATTATGGCACCCGCAGTCACGCTATTAGAGTAAATAGTTTTTTTTATCTCCAAATTCTACTCTTTTGAGTAGCTTCCACTATCTGCAAACATTCTCTCTCTCTCTCTCTCTTGCTGAACATTTTTCTCTCTAATTCTCTTTCTCCCTCTCCATTTACCCTCTCTCTTCATTGTCAAGCTCTATTCTATGCACATATGATGTTTTACCTAGGGAATTCTAATGAAATTGGACATGAAGGTCTACATGAAAAAATTGGAGAATAGAACTAAAACAAAATAAACTTTAAAGACTAAACTGAACTTTTGGAGCAAAGTTTTGGGGCCAAATAAGATGTCAATCCGGATTTATACTAGTGAAAACCATCAGAAATCACATAAATTTATAAGGGGGCAGTATATATCAAGTTCATAAAAAAGGAATTGCAGGCACTAAACATTTGAAAAATTAGAAAGTTAAAGCGAATGGGTGAGGAGTGCAGATTTTCAGAGACTCGCCACCACGGTTACATTGGAAGTCCCTTAAGCTACCAATGTGGTCGAAACACCTAAGCATTGGGTGTGGTGCCAAGTGCACATTCATGCAATAATGATAGTTTATGGAGTAACCATAAACCAAAAGAATCGACTAAGTCTGATATGATTCAATCAAGTTGTATCTGACTCGACGCTTTCTGTTCCTATATTGTTCCACATTATGTGTAATTCGTGATTCACTTGAAGACGCCTTGGTTGGTAGAATCATCCGATTCATCGACACACTACATATCGCCCAATACCGTTGTATGAAGTCGTGATATTGCCTAAATTGTTCGTCGAGTTTAAATTTTCCCATCACTTCATGTGGTATCACCAAGGATCAAAGTATCGTTTTGAAAAGTCGAAACGTTTTCATTTCCAAAGAGGTTGAAACGAATCAGTAATAGAATCGAAATTTTAATACTTCTAGGTGTTTCATAATGTTNTATCAAAGTATCATTTTGAAACAGTCGAAACGTTTTCATTTCCAAAGAGACTGAAACGAATCAGTAATAGAATCGAAATTTTAATACTTCTAGGTGTTTCATAATGTNGTCATAGGACTCATTCCTAAGTTCTTTCAATTCACTAATTTGAAACCAACTAGACGCCCTTACTTTGCTTAATGCAAAATTCATTTTCTTAATCGCCTAATATGCTCTATGTTCAAGCTCAACAGACGAGTGATCAAGGATCAAAATTTCGTTTCAGTGCATTGTTTCGGTCAAATAGAAAATGAAAACGTTTCGACGTGTTTCAGAAATGTTTCGCCCATTTTGAAACATAATGAAAAAAATATTAAAAAATTAAAAATTATTTTTTCAAAACATTGGTCGAAATATACCAAAATATCTTGAAATACCTTGAAGCATTCCGAAATAATTGTGCAAATACATTGAAATATAAAAAAATATTTCAAAACGTTATGGAACACCTCGAAATATTAGAATTTCGGTTCTATAACTGATTTGTTTCGATCTCCTTGGAAACGGAACTGTTTCAGATGTTTCAACCTTTTTGAAACGATATTTTGATGCTTGCAAGTTACATGATTTACCATAGGCTAGCTTATAAGGAAACATGCCTAGTATTGTTTTAAAAGTTGGTCAGTAAGCCCACAACGCATTGGTTAGTTTGAGAGACCAATCTTTGCGGTCTAGGTTTACCGTTTTCTCTAAAATTTTCTTGATCTCCAATTGTACTTGGTCACTTGTCAATGTGGTCGAAACACCTAAGCATTGGGTGTGGTGCCAAGTGCACATTCATGCAATAATGATAGTTTATGGAGTAACCATAAACCAAAAGAATCGACTAAGTCTGATATGATTCAATCAAGTTGTATCTGACTCGACGCTTTCTGTTCCTATATTGTTCCACATTATGTGTAATTCGTGATTCACTTGAAGACGCCTTGGTTGGTAGAATCATCCGATTCATCGACACACTACATATCGCCCAATACCGTTGTATGAAGTCGTGATATTGCCTAAATTGTTCGTCGAGTTTAAATTTTCCCATCACTTCATGTGGTATCACCAAGTATCAAAGTATCATTTTGAAACAGTCGAAACGTTTTCATTTCCAAAGAGGCTGAAACGAATCAGTAATAGAATCGAAATTTTAATACTTCTAGGTGTTTCATAATGTTTCGAAATGTTTTGTTATATTTCAATGCATTTGCACAATTATTTCGGAATGTTTTAAAGTATTTCAATATATTTTGGTATATTTCGACCAATGTTTTTGAAAAATAATTCTTAAATATTTTATTTTTTTTCATTTTGTTTTCGAAACGGGTCGAAACGTTTCCAAAACTTGTCACAATGTTTCTGTTTTTTAGGTGACCGAAATCATGCACTAAAACGAAATTTTGATCCTCGGGTATCACCTTATCACATTCTACAACACTCTAACTGATATGTCTAAATGGCTTCAAGTCAATGACCGATACTGTGACTTTAAACCATGGCTTACGTCATGGAGCACACGAACCTATTACAATACTTGTGGATGATGCATGGAAGCTAGAAGCCATCAAGTAGGTTTCAATTTTTTGGTCTTGTTGGATATTATTTATGTTTTGATAAAGGAACATGTGCCTTTTGAGGCAAGCTCTATACTGTTAGAAGGCTTGTTCTAGTGTTACTTAAAACAACAAGCGAATAAAGGGGTCAAGGATACCAAGGGCCTAGGTGCAAACAAAGTGCGGGCTTCTGTGATGTGCAACCATGATGTAGATAATTCGTGAATTACACTTTATACTATAAATGCAAGTGAAAGCTATACATTTGTAAAATTTTTATGCAAATACAACATATACACCTTATCTGAACAGCAAGTATCAATAATATTCTACACAAAAAAGCTTAGAAGCAAATTCACTGATACTACCCATTCGCGTGAATTTCTAGAGCATAAAACAACTTATAATAAGATTACTAGCAAAATTAATCAACAACGTTCAGTATCAAGTCTCAGTAAATTATACTAAAAATTGACATTTTTTTGCCCAAGACTGCTAATTTGATAATGATTGTCCTCCTTAATTCATTAAAACGATAAAAAAATTTCCTAAACCAAAGTAAGAAGGAAGAGGAATAGGGGAGAGATGACGACTATCACAAAGTGAGTATATTCCTTAGAACCAAATGCTAATTTTACAATATTACAGACTAATTGAATAAAAATAAAGGTTTATTTTTCAGAAAAAGAGTATGATTCCAATAAATTAGGTTCTACTTTAAAAAATAAAGATAGAATGGAGATATAAAATTAGAGAAAGAGGCGTGTAAAATAGATATTTACACTTTGGGTAGATTAGACCTGATCTGCTAAGTCAATAGGAAGGGTTAAAGGTTTTTTTTTTTGACAAGTAGGGTTGAAGTTAGAATTTAGTAGTTATACTTGGTGTTCTAACTTCTAACTGGTGTGATGCATATCAAGTATTGCATGCAAAGGCAACATATCAATGACCCAAACTATAACACCGAAGGAAAGAAACGCCCACGCCTCATGTGTGTCAGGCTAAAGCCTGAGACAAGCATGCGCTCATTAAAGTGTTTCAAGTGCGACTCGCCTCATCTGGGGAATCATTGAAATATCAATTTGATTGACCGAAGAAAGAAGATTAGTCATAAAAAAAATTATCCAATGGAATTTTAAAATAAAGATAAGATTCCATTGGATTCCAGCAGATATATCTTTATTTCGAAATTCCACCGTATTCTAATGGAGTAATGTAAACATACAAATTAAACACACCTTGCATAACTCATTTATATAGATGTGTGTTGGTGAAAAAAGAAACTAGTTGGAGACACTGAGAAAAAATTAAATGCATCAAGGACAGTGATAATAACTTTAAATTTTTTCATATGGTTGGTAACGACAAATTGAAAAAGTTGATAATTAGGATTGAGACTGTGTCCAAAAAGTGCATGAAAGTGAGAATCTTAATATTTTCGAGATTGTTAATTATTTCTCCATATGGTGCTAGTTGCTAACAAGATTGTTGAAGAGTATAATGAGAATAAAAAGGAAGGTTTTGTGTTCAAGCTTGGTTTTGGAAAAAAACTTATGATATGTGAATTGGGATGTTTTGGAGTTTGAGATGACTAAGAAAGGTTTCGGTTTGAGATGGAGAAAGTAGATTTTGGGAAGCCTAAGGTCAGTTACTTATTGTCGTTATGAATGGTTAAAAGCAAGGTTGTTTTAGAGCCACAAGAGGTCTTGGGCAAGGAGATCCCCTATAATTGGGAGGTATGTTTTGAGTTGAATGATGGATATGGCTGGTAGTCTAGAGGTGATGAAGGGCTTTAAGATTGGTCGGGAAAGAGATGGGGTGTCTCCCTCATAATTTGTTGATGACACCATATTTTTTTGTAAAAAAGATTAAAAGAACATTCATTTAATTGCCATAGTTTTGAAATGTTTTGAATTGGTGTCCGGCCTTAGAGTGAATTTATCTAAGAGTACAATGGCCAGACTCAATATGCAACATGATAAATTGGTTAGAGAAGCTAATGCTTAAGGTCATTCCTCATCTTCACAGTAACTAGAAATCAACAAAGTCATTGAAGAAGTTTAACTAGTTATTATCGAGAATAATCAACAAGTCTATGGTTTCGGTACTATTTTGGTTTCATCCAATCACACTCCTTGCATTAGTTGGTATCAAACGTTGCACTCATTCTTGCACCATGCCGCCAAAACGACATCATGCTACTTTACACGAGACCGTCGTCGAGAT